CATCTCCTTCTTTTTTTTTAATGTATATCTGTATCTATTTATATTTGTATTACCGTCTTGAAATGCTTTTGACTGGCCAAAGTGACCTTTTTAAAATACTTTGCCACCTTAGTATTTGTTAATAATTCTAAAAAAATATAAATTCTCATTCATATCTAATACGTAACTACCATTTAACAATGCAACACATATATATATATATATATATCCATTCATTTATCTTTATATCTACATATATATTTATATCAATAAATAAAAAAACAGAATAGAAGTTCTAAATGTCAAGATCCAGAAAAACTTCTAATCACTACAAAATCCTTAAAAAAGTATATTACTAGTACATTTTTATGGCAATTACTAGTACATTTTATATTCTAGACCCCATGATATTTAAAATATATTACACACAGACCCCAAAAATTTGTACGTATGTGACAATTAGACCTCTGTCATCAAATGTTCATTAGTATATTCGTTAGTAAATTATATCCAGACTCTCTGAAATTTGTAAACGGATAATACTTAAATTCTTCAAGTTTAAAATGTTATACTTAGACTAAAAAATACTCTAATCAAATATAAAATATAAAATATTTTAAATTTTACAATCAAAATCTATGTTCTATCATGTCATTTATTGAGATAAAATCAAAAATAAAAATCTAATTTTTCATAAAAAATCATAATTAATATATAATTATACTACCACAAGAATGTATCTCAATGTAGCAAACAACGGTGACATTGACATACGAGAGGCTCATCAAACTCTTAAAATAACGAAAGTTAATTCAAGAAAAGTTGAAGAAAAACAAAAAACAATTGAGACAAATCTAGCTCTCTGATGAACTAGGACACGTGTAGAGGTTTTGAAGAAGTTCCGGAGAACCATCATAATTTGCAAGTTGGAGCTGCAGGCAAAATGTTAAAAGAGGCCCTATAAATAATATGATATCATGTCATTTGCGCTCTAAATTTAAGCAGTGTAGCATTACTGTAAAATAAATATTTTGACTCATTATGTGTACCAATAACCAACCAATTTTGCACATAATAGTTGGGTCTAAGTGGTATCTAGATTAATCATAAAACAACTAGAATTTAGCTTGGTTATTTTAGATATGGATCTCTAGTAAAGTGCCACATTAAACATGTTTTTTCGGAAAGTAATGTTGAACATTCACGGTATATAATGGCGATTTTTCTTGTTTAACCACAACAACAGAAGTATAAAAGAATTATATTTCACAGCCCTACAAGGAAGGTAAGACACCAAGTCCTAACAAGCCATAGGCTTGGTAACGATCTCCTCTCATGTGCACTNCTTGATGCGGTAAAATTAGAGTTACTGCATATTTAATAAATTTTGTGGAACTTATTAATCTAATAATCTATTTTGAGATGATGCACAAAGATGGTACATAAAACTAGTGTGTAGCATTATTAGAAGAAAAAAATGTTGCAGACCGGATAATTAGTAATTTCACAAGTGTTATTAAGCCACAATGTCGGATGTGGTGGATTTACATCCTGTTNGATGGTACATAAAACTAGTGTGTAGCATTATTAGAAGAAAAAAATGTTGCAGACCGGGTAATTAGTAATTTCACAAGTGTTATTAAGCCACAATGTCGGATGTGGTGGATTTACATCCTGTANAGCACTATGATTTAAATCAATACTAGATGAGATCACCATTAAAAAACAAGGATTAATCATCTTATTGCAAAAAATATTCAACTTTGGATATTGGGGCCCCAATAGGCAGCCGCTCAAGTGGCCCATGCTTAGGCTCGGCCCTGTTATTAGCATGGACAAGTGGCCTCAAACGGTCAGGCCTCAAGCAAAGGACGGGAAAATGTGAGATCAAGGTGTTTCAATTCCATTTGCTTTGGAAAATTGAAAGGACGAACTCTAGAATCTCTAACTTTTTTTTTTNTTTAATCAAATCGTGATCAAATTAATCATTCACCATTAAATTTAAATGTATCCGAAGAGTATTGGTACAAAATAATTCTGAATGTTATGGACAAATGAATTTAAAAATAAATGATCCACAATTTAAAGAGTCAAAAACAAATCATTCAACCTTGGGCCGATAGGCTGGAGCTATCCCACATCGGATAGTCTTTGAGTGTGTGTGGGTTACACTTTTAAGTGTAAGTGTTATAGTTATCCTCTAATCAAAAATCTTGGATTTTTATTTATTTTTTCTTTTTATATTTATATTACTAGCAAATGAATCTTAATATAAAAAAGTTTAGTTCATTATTTTGGCTTATAAAAAACTATAAATGTAATTATGCCCTCATGTCCTTCTTATTAAAATTACCATTATGTCCTGTGTATTTAATTAGTCAAATTATTCTTGAACATCTCCTTCTTTTTTTTTAATGTATATCTGTATCTATTTATATTTGTATTACCGTCTTGAAATGCTTTTGACTGGCCAAAGTGACCTTTTTAAAATACTTTGCCACCTTAGTATTTGTTAATAATTCTAAAAAAATATAAATTCTCATTCATATCTAATACGTAACTACCATTTAACAATGCAACACATATATATATATATATATATCCATTCATTTATCTTTATATCTACATATATATTTATATCAATAAATAAAAAAACAGAATAGAAGTTCTAAATGTCAAGATCCAGAAAAACTTCTAATCACTACAAAATCCTTAAAAAAGTATATTACTAGTACATTTTTATGGCAATTACTAGTACATTTTATATTCTAGACCCCATGATATTTAAAATATATTACACACAGACCCCAAAAATTTGTACGTATGTGACAATTAGACCTCTGTCATCAAATGTTCATTAGTATATTCGTTAGTAAATTATATCCAGACTCTCTGAAATTTGTAAACGGATAATACTTAAATTCTTCAAGTTTAAAATGTTATACTTAGACTAAAAAATACTCTAATCAAATATAAAATATAAAATATTTTAAATTTTACAATCAAAATCTATGTTCTATCATGTCATTTATTGAGATAAAATCAAAAATAAAAATCTAATTTTTCATAAAAAATCATAATTAGTATATAATTATACTACCACAAGAATGTATCTCAATGTAGCAAACAACGGTGACATTGACATACGAGAGGCTCATCAAACTCTTAAAATAACGAAAGTTAATTCAAGAAAAGTTGAAGAAAAACAAAAAACAATTGAGACAAATCTAGCTCTCCGATGAACTAGGACACGTGTAGAGGCTTTGAAGAAGTTCAGGAGAACCATCATAATTTGCAAGTTGGAGCTGCAGGCAAAATGTTAAAAGAGGCCCTATAAATAATATGATGTCATGTCATTTGCGCTCTAAATTTAAGCAGTGTAGCATTACTGTAAAATAAATATTTTGACTCATTATGTGTACCAATAACCAACCAATTTTGCACATAATAGTTGGGTCTAAGTGGTACCTAGATTAATCATAAAACAACTAGAATTTAGCTTGGTTATTTTAGATATGGATCTCTAGTAAAGTGCCACATTAAACATGTTTTTTCGGAAAGTAATGTTGAACATTCACGGTATATAATGGCGATTTTTCTTGTTTAACCACAACAACAGAAGTATAAAAGAATTATATTTCACAGCCCTACAAGGAAGGTAAGACACCAAGTCCTAACAAGCCATAGGCTTGGTAACGATCTCCTCTCATGTGCACTGTGAAGAAGATGAATAACAAAAAGAGGAGACATCCAATTAAGAGCAAAGAAATTGTAAGCACTATGATTTAAATCAATACTAGATGAGATCACCATTAAAAAACAAGGATTAATCATCTTATTGCAAAAAATATTCAACTTTGGATATTGGGGCCCCAATAGGCAGCCGCTCAAGTGGCCCATGCTTAGGCTCGGCCCTGTTATTAGCATGGACAAGTGGCCTCAAACGGTCAGGCCTCAAGCAAAGGACGGGAAAATGTGAGATCAAGGTGTTTCAATTCCATTTGCTTTGGAAAATTGAAAGGACGAACTCTAGAATCTCTAACTTTTTTTTTTTTTTTTTGCTATTTTTGACTCCCAACTTTGTTGTGTTTAATTTTGCACCTACTGCTTTCAACGAGCTTTGATCTTATTTTGAAGCTATGAAACACTGGAAGATATATATGGCCTAGTCAACAGTTTTGTTGACCTAATTGGGATCAACATTACAACAAAGGTTATGCAATTTTCCAACCATTATTGATAGAAAAAAAATATTGCAGACTGGAAGAGTTTTGGTATGTGTTTTACTATCTAAGTGCAAGTTTTATTTTCTATTACAGACAACTCTACAATGTAGTTCATGTCGATGAGTAATGCTATTGAAATATAAAATTTTGATCAAATTTGTTGGGTAGTAATAATTCAAGCAATTTTACAATGAATGGGCTACCAGTGTTTCAACTGTCAAAATTACATATACGCACATATAGAAATTAACAAATTGTGTTCCTAACAAGAAATGAAGTGAAAACAAGTATTAACAAACACTATAGAAGGATCAAACACCAATTCACTCGGTGAAAAACTAGTGACCTGTTGAAGAATCAAACACCAATTCAATAAGTGAAAAAACATTAACATTGTTCAAAGTTCAAACACCAAAGCACTACATTGAATAGACATAGAACCACTCTTACATAAGCACCACCGAATAAGAAAGAAATAGAAACACGTCATGGAAATGGTTGGTGAGCAATTGCAACGCAGCCACCACACCTGAGAAGCAGTAATGGGCAGGTATCACATCTGTGAAGACAACACAAGCTTATTTGTTGAGCTGAAGTAGCTTATTTTTCACGGAGAGAATTATGCAGGATAGGATGTAGAGATCTACAAAGCGATTCGTCAAATAATCTTTAACAATAGAGTAAGAAATAACACCCAGAAAAAATATTCATCAATACATGAAGAACAATTGGAATATTGTAGAGAATAAGAGCACACCTGGATCACTTCCATTATGCAATTTGTAAACTGAGACCTCATTGCCGAAAAGCATTTCGTGTGGCTTCGTCCAGCCATTCCAACTTATCAAACCAGTCTCTGGCTCCATAAATGGTAGTTCGATGTTCTTTAGCGCTATCAGAGTTGAGTGGAAGCTTCTTCAGCTCTGGACACTCTCTTACATCGAGGACGACCAAGCAAGGGAAGGGCAGGGGATTGTGGTAGATGCTCTTTAGTTTTGGAAGACGACCTAACATCAAATGGTTTAGTTTTGCAAATGGTTTTGGAATTTTCCCTTTCTCTGCAGCTTCCATCCACGCATCCGCACTAATTACTTCTTCCATATTCTCACAGCTAGATATAGAGAGAGACTCGATGTTTGGAGCAAAGAGAATCCATTTTGCGTTTTTCAACCTTTTGCAATTATCTATGAATACTCTACGAAGGCTGTGGAAGCATGGTCGGTTTCTGATATGAAAGTCGATGGGATTATTACTAGTTTCTATCTCTTTTCCTTCTACACTCCAATCAATCTCCCAATCTTCACAATCGTCCCAACACAAGACAAAAAGGGAATTTAGACACTTCATATATTGCAGAGAAGATATATTGAAAGTGATGCAACAACTGAAGCGTAGCAAGTGTAAACGTCGAGTGCAGCTCTGTAACTTGTCGCACTTTATTAGTCTTTGGAAAACAGAGGCACTTGTCATTGTCATAGTCAAATAATATAAGAATTTCAAAGCATCCAATTTCTCTACCATAGCTTCATTGTCGATGACAACACCGTTAATCTTCAACACTTGCAAGAATGATAAACCTGCTATCATTTGGAGTATTGAAGTTTGATCACATTTTGTATCTTCCATATCCAAAATTTTCAAATTTACCAAGTTTTGGAGCTGAACTGGTAACCGACTTATCCATGTGTGAGATATATTCAGATACTGCAATGAAGTCAATTCACCAATTTCCAATGGTAAAGCACCTAAAAATTTATTCGTTGACAAGTCTAGAACTTTGAGAGCACGCATAGATTGGAAAAAGCCGCTACTGATCTTCTTCAACCGATTTTCATTCAGAAGCAAAGTTGTGAGCTTACTGCATGTTGGTTTTCCTATTAGTCTTTCAATTTTATTTACCATCAATGACATCCTCTTTACCTCTTTCCATTTTGAAACTTCTGGTGCTTTAGTCTACCCCTCNCTTTTTTTGCTATTTTTGACTCCCAACTTTGTTGTGTTTAATTTTGCACCTACTGCTTTCAACGAGCTTTGATCTTATTTTGAAGCTATGAAACACTGGAAGATATATATGGCCTAGTCAACAGTTTTGTTGACCTAATTGGGATCAACATTACAACAAAGGTTATGCAATTTTCCAACCATTATTGATAGAAAAAAAATATTGCAGACTGGAAGAGTTTTGGTATGTGTTTTACTATCTAAGTGCAAGTTTTATTTTCTATTACAGACAACTCTACAATGTAGTTCATGTCGATGAGTAATGCTATTGAAATATAAAATTTTGATCAAATTTGTTGGGTAGTAATAATTCAAGCAATTTTACAATGAATGGGCTACCAGTGTTTCAACTGTCAAAATTACATATACGCACAGATAGAAATTGACAAATTGTGTTCCTAACAAGAAATGAAGTGAAAACAAGTATTAACAAACACTATAGAAGGATCAAACACCAATTCACTCGGTGAAAAACTAGTGACCTGTTGAAGAATCAAACACCAATTCAATAAGTGAAAAAACATTAACATTGTTCAAAGTTCAAACACCAAAGCACTACATTGAATAGACATAGAACCATTCTTACATAAGCACCACCGAATAAGAAAGAAATAGAAACACGTCATGGAAATGGTTGGTGAGCAATTGCAACGCAGCCACCACACCTGAGAAGCAGTAATGGGCAGGTATCACATCTGTGAAGACAACACAAGCTTATTTGTTGAGCTGAAGTAGCTTATTTTTCACGGAGAGAATTATGCAGGATAGGATGTAGAGATCTACAAAGCGATTCGTCAAATAATCTTTAACAATAGAGTAAGAAATAACACCCAGAAAAAATATTCATCAATACATGAAGAACAATTGGAATATTGTAGAGAATAAGAGCACACCTGGATCACTTCCATTATGCAATTTGTAAACTGAGACCTCATTGCCGAAAAGCATTTCGTGTGGCTTCGTCCAGCCATTCCAACTTATCAAACCAGTCTCTGGCTCCATAAATGGTAGTTCGATGTTCTTTAGCGCTATCAGAGTTGAGTGGAAGCTTCTTCAGCTCTGGACACTCTCTTACATCGAGGACGACCAAGCAAGGGAAGGGCAGGGGATTGTGGTAGATGCTCTTTAGTTTTGGAAGACGACCTAACATCAAATGGTTTAGTTTTGCAAATGGTTTTGGAATTTTCCCTTTCTCTGCAGCTTCCATCCACGCATCCGCACTAATTACTTCTTCCATATTCTCACAGCTAGATATAGAGAGAGACTCGATGTTTGGAGCAAAGAGAATCCATTTTGCGTTTTTCAACCTTTTGCAATTATCTATGAATACTCTACGAAGGCTGTGGAAGCATGGTCGGTTTCTGATATGAAAGTCGATGGGATTATTACTAGTTTCTATCTCTTTTCCTTCTACACTCCAATCAATCTCCCAATCTTCACAATCGTCCCAACACAAGACAAAAAGGGAATTTAGACACTTCATATATTGCAGAGAAGATATATTGAAAGTGATGCAACAACTGAAGCGTAGCAAGTGTAAACGTCGAGTGCAGCTCTGTAACTTGTCGCACTTTATTAGTCTTTGGAAAACAGAGGCACTTGTCATTGTCATAGTCAAATAATATAAGAATTTCAAAGCATCCAATTTCTCTACCATAGCTTCATTGTCGATGACAACACCGTTAATCTTCAACACTTGCAAGAATGATAAACCTGCTATCATTTGGAGTATTGAAGTTTGATCACATTTTGTATCTTCCATATCCAAAATTTTCAAATTTACCAAGTTTTGGAGCTGAACTGGTAACCGACTTATCCATGTGTGAGATATATTCAGATACTGCAATGAAGTCAATTCACCAATTTCCAATGGTAAAGCACCTAAAAATTTATTCGTTGACAAGTCTAGAACTTTGAGAGCACGCATAGATTGGAAAAAGCCGCTACTGATCTTCTTCAACCGATTTTCATTCAGAAGCAAAGTTGTGAGCTTACTGCATGTTGGTTTTCCTATTAGTCTTTCAATTTTATTTACCATCAATGACATCCTCTTTACCTCTTTCCATTTTGAAACTTCTGGTGCTTTAGTCTACCCCTCACCTGCTCGCACCAAAAACTTGTCGGTCTGCTTCTCATATTCACGACCTATCCACAATGCCATCTCACGTATCACGTCATGCATTTTTACAGTGTCACTAGAAACCTTTTCCAGCAAACATGCTTGAAGAAGTGTGTCAATAATGTCATACCCTTGGTTTTCAGCACCATCTTCATTGTCATCCCATTCATTTAAAAATCCCTCACCAATCCATTTGTTTATCAAGTCCTCTATAGGAATAAATGAGTCTTCAGGGTATAAAAAGCAATATAAGAAACAAGACCTCACTGTGTCGCTAGGTAGACTATCATAACTTAGATGTAAAGGATGAAACACCTTTGTTTCCATACTTGGAAATCGCACAGCATAGCTCTTCACCACTTTAATAGCATGCTTCCACGCTTTGGGTGTTTGCTTGTAAGCCATGGCTCTACCTACGGTAATAAGTGCAAGCGGCAAACCGTCACATTCTTTGGCAACATGTTGAGCTAACTAAAGTATGTCNGAAGTGAAAACAAGTATTAACAAACACTATAGAAGGATCAAACACCAATTCACTCGGCGAAAAACTAGTGACCAGTTGAAGGNGAAGTGAAAACAAGTATTAACAAACACTATAGAAGGATCAAACACCAATTCACTCGGTGAAAAACTAGTGACCTGTTGAAGANTGTTTCTCATACAATTGAGATTTCTCCCTATCTATGGAGGCACTGTCCAGTATTTATAGTTCGATTCCTATCTCTAAGGAATCTGCAGCGAGATTCCTGCCCTTCATCTACGGGATTTTTCTTAATTTTGGAGAGAAGATCTTGGATGGTTGAGAGTTTCATGCCTTAATCACTGCCTTTTGTTATTTTAGAGATGTCTCATGTTAACCAGTTGTTCCTTTCTCATCNGAATCAAACACCAATTCAATAAGTGAAAAAACATTAACATTGTTCAAAGTTCAAACACCAAAGCACTACATTGAATAGACATAGAACCACTCTTACATAAGCACCACCGAATAAGAAAGAAATAGAAACACGTCATGGAAATGGTTGGTGAGCAATTGCAACGCAGCCACCACACCTGAGAAGCAGTAATGGGCAGGTATCACATCTGTGAAGACAACACAAGCTTATTTGTTGAGCTGAAGTAGCTTATTTTTCACGGAGAGAATTATGCAGGATAGGATGTAGAGATCTACAAAGCGATTCGTCAAATAATCTTTAACAATAGAGTAAGAAATAGCACCCAGAAAAAATATTCATCAATACATGAAGAACAATTGGAATATTGTAGAGAATAAGAGCACACCTGGATCACTTCCATTATGCAATTTGTAAACTGAGACCTCATTGCCGAAAAGCATTTCGTGTGGCTTCGTCCAGCCATTCCAACTTATCAAACCAGTCTCTGGCTCCATAAATGGCAGTTCGATGTTCTTTAGCGCTACATGGCAGTTCGATGTTCTTTAGCGCTATCAGAGTTGAGTGGAAGCTTCTTCAACTCTGGACACTCTCTTACATCGAGGACAACCAAGCAAGGGAAGGGCAGGGGATTGTGGTAGATGCTCTTTAGTTTTGGAAGACGACCTAACATCAAATGGTTTAGTTTTGCAAATGGTTTTGGAATTTTCCCTTTCTCTGTAGCTTCCATCCACGCACCCGCACTAATTACTTCTTCCATATTCTCACAGCTAGATATAGAGAGAGACTCGATGTTTGGAGCAAAGAGAATCCATTTTGCGTTTTTCAACCTTTTGCAATTATCTATGAATACTCTACGAAGGCTGTGGAAGCATGGTCGGTTTCTGATATGAAAGTCGATGGGATTATTACTAGTTTCTATCTCTTTTCCTTCTACACTCCAATCAATCTCCCAATCTTCACAATCGTCCCAACACAAGACAAAAAGGGAATTTAGACACTTCATATATNTGGATCGGATTTAAGGGTCGTTTCACCAACCTTCTTTTGGAACAAATCCCAAGCCTCCCCCCATGGCAAACACTCCACTTCAATTGTTTTATGAGCGTCCATTTGGCCACACACCCTTTTAGAACGGGTTGTGAATACTATCTTGGAGTTTTGCTTGTTTTGAAGTGGAATCCCAACCTCTAAGAGATCAAGGCGCTCCCACATATCATCCAACAACAAAACAAACTTCTTTTTGCTCAACACTCCACATATATCTTCTTTATTTCCTTCTGGTCTTTTATTCTTCCATATCTCGTCATAAAGTCCCATCTTTTTTCCGATGTCATCTTGAACCTGATCCAAATCTAGATTACTGGACACCGTTACCCAAATCACAACATCAAAATCATGAGTTGTATTGACAAACTTGTTGTTGACTTCAGTTAGCAGAGTGGTCTTCCCAACTCCTCCTAACCCATATAAGCCGATGATTCCCACATCTTCTTTTTCGAGGTGCCCCCAAATCTCACATAAATTATTTTTCATGCCCATTATTATTCCTTCACTGGGTCTTACCGTAGCTAGAGGTGAAGGTAACCTTTGAGCTACCTCTTCAAAAACTCCTTTGCTCTTTAAATTAGCAGCATATTGTTTCTTCAACAAGCCTTTACAAAAGATACTACCGACATACATAATTATATTTTAATCCTAATTGCCAATAATGCACCCTACATGATTTCAATCTCTCAATAAAAAAACTANGTGTGGCTTCGTCCAGCCATTCCAACTTATCAAACCAGTCTCTGGCTCCATAAATGGCAGTTCGATGTTCTTTAGCGCTACATGGCAGTTCGATGTTCTTTAGCGCTATCAGAGTTGAGTGGAAGCTTCTTCAACTCTGGACACTCTCTTACATCGAGGACANTTGTAAACTGAGACCTCATTGCCGAAAAGCATTTCGTGTGGCTTCGTCCAGCCATTCCAACTTATCAAACCAGTCTCTGGCTCCATAAATGGTAGTTCGATGTTCTTTAGCGCTATCAGAGTTGAGTGGAAGCTTCTTCAGCTCTGGACACTCTCTTACATCGAGGACGACCAAGCAAGGGAAGGGCAGGGGATTGTGGTAGATGCTCTTTAGTTTTGGAAGACGACCTAACATCAAATGGTTTAGTTTTGCAAATGGTTTTGGAATTTTCCCTTTCTCTGCAGCTTCCATCCACGCACCCGCACTAATTACTTCTTCCATATTCTCACAGCTAGATATAGAGAGAGACTCGATGTTTGGAGCAAAGAGAATCCATTTTGCGTTTTTCAACCTTTTGCAATTATCTATGAATACTCTACGAAGGCTGTGGAAGCATGGTCGGTTTCTGATATGAAAGTCGATGGGATTATTACTAGTTTCTATCTCTTTTCCTTCTACACTCCAATCAATCTCCCAATCTTCACAATCGTCCCAACACAAGACAAAAAGGGAATTTAGACACTTCATATATTGCAGAGAAGATATATTGAAAGTGATGCAACAACTGAAGCGTAGCAAGTGTAAACGTCGAGTGCAGCTCTGTAACTTGTCGCACTTTATTAGTCTTTGGAAAACAGAGGCACTTGTCATTGTCATAGTCAAATAATATAAGAATTTCAAAGCATCCAATTTCTCTACCATAGCTTCATTGTCGATGACAACACCGTTAATCTTCAACACTTGCAAGAATGATAAACCTGCTATCATTTGGAGTATTGAAGTTTGATCACATTTTGTATCTTCCATATCCAAAATTTTCAAATTTACCAAGTTTTGGAGCTGAACTGGTAACCGACTTATCCATGTGTGAGATATATTCAGATACTGCAATGAAGTCAATTCACCAATTTCCAATGGTAAAGCACCTAAAAATTTATTCGTTGACAAGTCTAGAACTTTGAGAGCACGCATAGATTGGAAAAAGCCGCTACTGATCTTCTTCAACCGATTTTCATTCAGAAGCAAAGTTGTGAGCTTACTGCATGTTGGTTTTCCTATTAGTCTTTCAATTTTATTTACCATCAATGACATCCTCTTTACCTCTTTCCATTTTGAAACTTCTGGTGCTTTAGTCTACCCCTCACCTGCTCGCACCAAAAACTTGTCGGTCTGCTTCTCATATTCACGACCTATCCACAATGCCATCTCACGTATCACGTCATGCATTTTTACAGTGTCACTAGAAACCTTTTCCAGCAAACATGCTTGAAGAAGTGTGTCAATAATGTCATACCCTTGGTTTTCAGCACCATCTTCATTGTCATCCCATTCATTTAAAAATCCCTCACCAATCCATTTGTTTATCAAGTCCTCTATAGGAATAAATGAGTCTTCAGGGTATAAAAAGCAATATAAGAAACAAGACCTCACTGTGTCGCTAGGTAGACTATCATAACTTAGATGTAAAGGATGAAACACCTTTGTTTCCATACTTGGAAATCGCACAGCATAGCTCTTCACCACTTTAATAGCATGCTTCCACGCTTTGGGTGTTTGCTTGTAAGCCATGGCTCTACCTACGGTAATAAGTGCAAGCGGCAAACCGTCACATTCTTTGGCAACATGTTGAGCTAACTAAAGTATGTCTGGATCGGATTTAAGGGTCGTTTCACCAACCTTCTTTTGGAACAAATCCCAAGCCTCCCCCCATGGCAAACACTCCACTTCAATTGTTTTATGAGCGTCCATTTGGCCACACACCCTTTTAGAACGGGTTGTGAATACTATCTTGGAGTTTTGCTTGTTTTGAAGTGGAATCCCAACCTCTAAGAGATCAAGGCGCTCCCACATATCATCCAACAACAAAACAAACTTCTTTTTGCTCAACACTCCACATATATCTTCTTTATTTCCTTCTGGTCTTTTATTCTTCCATATCTCGTCATAAAGTCCCATCTTTTTTCCGATGTCATCTTGAACCTGATCCAAATCTAGATTACTGGACACCGTTACCCAAATCACAACATCAAAATCATGAGTTGTATTGACAAACTTGTTGTTGACTTCAGTTAGCAGAGTGGTCTTCCCAACTCCTCCTAACCCATATAAGCCGATGATTCCCACATCTTCTTTTTCGAGGTGCCCCCAAATCTCACATAAATTATTTTTCATGCCCATTATTATTCCTTCACTGGGTCTTACCGTAGCTAGAGGTGAAGGTAACCTTTGAGCTACCTCTTCAAAAACTCCTTTGCTCTTTAAATTAGCAGCATATTGTTTCTTCAACAAGCCTTTACAAAAGATACTACCGACATACATAATTATATTTTAATCCTAATTGCCAATAATGCACCCTACATGATTTCAATCTCTCAATAAAAAAACTAAAGTTGATTGCTAAATTTCAGGATACCTTACAATGAAGGCATTGTAATTTGCTTAAATTATCCTCCCATTCCCTAATATTTTAATATATCAACAAGGCTCATGATCATTATGATTTTAATATAAATATACAGTTATCAAAATAACAATCATGATTTCAGTGCCAATATTTATAACCCCCTTCCACTTTTACTTACTAATAATCTCTTCAGCTCTTGTTACAAAGTGCCCATACAAATTCTCAAAAATAACAAAAAGATTCCCCTCTCTCTCTCTCTCTCGCTAGTGGGGAAAGAGGAGTTGCAGAATTTCTGTAGGTTATGGTGGAATGAGAAGCAAATAGTGTCAAAGGTTGTAGTGGAGTGGGCTGGACTCGTTGAGTGGGAAAAGAGGAGTTCCAGAATTTATGGGTAGTGTAGCACTTCTCTCTCCAATTATGCTNGACCTAACATCAAATGGTTTAGTTTTGCAAATGGTTTTGGAATTTTCCCTTTCTCTGTAGCTTCCATCCACGCACCCGCACTAATTACTTCTTCCATATTCTCACAGCTAGATATAGAGAGAGACTCGATGTTTGGAGCAAAGAGAATCCATTTTGCANTATTTTTCAAGGTTTCAATATACTTTCTAAAAATGAAGTTACGTGTTTGAGGTAAATTTATGATCCATCATTAATATTTCTAAACAGNGACCTAACATCAAATGGTTTAGTTTTGCAAATGGTTTTGGAATTTTCCCTTTCTCTGCAGCTTCCATCCACGCATCCGCACTAATTACTTCTTCCATATTCTCACAGCTAGATATAGAGAGAGACTCGATGTTTGGAGCAAAGAGAATCCATTTTGCGTTTTTCAACCTTTTGCAATTATCTATGAATACTCTACGAAGGCTGTGGAAGCATGGTCGGTTTCTGATATGAAAGTCGATGGGATTATTACTAGTTTCTATCTCTTTTCCTTCTACACTCCAATCAATCTCCCAATCTTCACAATCGTCCCAACACAAGACAAAAAGGGAATTTAGACACTTCATATATTGCAGAGAAGATATATTGAAAGTGATGCAACAACTGAAGCGTAGCAAGTGTAAACGTCGAGTGCAGCTCTGTAACTTGTCGCACTTTATTAGTCTTTGGAAAACAGAGGCACTTGTCATTGTCATAGTCAAATAATATAAGAATTTCAAAGCATCCAATTTCTCTACCATAGCTTCATTGTCGATGACAACACCGTTAATCTTCAACACTTGCAAGAATGATAAACCTGCTATCATTTGGAGTATTGAAGTTTGATCACATTTTGTATCTTCCATATCCAAAATTTTCAAATTTACCAAGTTTTGGAGCTGAACTGGTAACCGACTTATCCATGTGTGAGATATATTCAGATACTGCAATGAAGTCAATTCACCAATTTCCAATGGTAAAGCACCTAAAAATTTATTCGTTGACAAGTCTAGAACTTTGAGAGCACGCATAGATTGGAAAAAGCCGCTACTGATCTTCTTCAACCGATTTTCATTCAGAAGCAAAGTTGTGAGCTTACTGCATGTTGGTTTTCCTATTAGTCTTTCAATTTTATTTACCATCAATGACATCCTCTTTACCTCTTTCCATTTTGAAACTTCTGGTGCTTTAGTCTACCCCTCACCTGCTCGCACCAAAAACTTGTCGGTCTGCTTCTCATATTCACGACCTATCCACAATGCCATCTCACGTATCACGTCATGCATTTTTACAGTGTCACTAGAAACCTTTTCCAGCAAACATGCTTGAAGAAGTGTGTCAATAATGTCATACCCTTGGTTTTCAGCACCATCTTCATTGTCATCCCATTCATTTAAAAATCCCTCACCAATCCATTTGTTTATCAAGTCCTCTATAGGAATAAATGAGTCTTCAGGGTATAAAAAGCAATATAAGAAACAAGACCTCACTGTGTCGCTAGGTAGACTATCATAACTTAGATGTAAAGGATGAAACACCTTTGTTTCCATACTTGGAAATCGCACAGCATAGCTCTTCACCACTTTAATAGCATGCTTCCACGCTTTGGGTGTTTGCTTGTAAGCCATGGCTCTACCTACGGTAATAAGTGCAAGCGGCAAACCGTCACATTCTTTGGCAACATGTTGAGCTAACTAAAGTATGTCTGGATCGGATTTAAGGGTCGTTTCACCAACCTTCTTTTGGAACAAATCCCAAGCCTCCCCCCATGGCAAACACTCCACTTCAATTGTTTTATGAGCGTCCATTTGGCCACACACCCTTTTAGAACGGGTTGTGAATACTATCTTGGAGTTTTGCTTGTTTTGAAGTGGAATCCCAACCTCTAAGAGATCAAGGCGCTCCCACATATCATCCAACAACAAAACAAACTTCTTTTTGCTCAACACTCCACATATATCTTCTTTCTTTCCTTCTGGTCTTTTATTCTTCCATATCTCGTCATAAAGTCCTATCTTTTTTCCGATGTCATCTTGAACCTGATCCAAATCTAGATTACTGGACACCGTTACCCAAATCACAACATCAAAATCATGAGTTGTATTGACAAACTTGTTGTTGACTTCAGTTAGCAGAGTGGTCTTCCCAACTCCTCCTAACCCATATAAGCCGATGATTCCCACATCTTCTTTTTCGAGGTGCCCCCAAATCTCACATAAATTATTTTTCATGCCCATTATTATTCCTTCACTGGGTCTTACCGTAGCTGGAGGTGAAGGTAACCTTTGAGCTACCTCTTCAAAAACTCCTTTGCTCTTTAAATTAGCAACATCTTTTAGTTTTTTGGCTACTTTATTTCCCAACTCGTACCTTGAGCAGCAATTCTTGGGACATCCACAACAAAAATTCTTCTCAATCTCCTTGATGCCATTTTCTATCACTTCAGTTAATTCAGTTTCCATGGTTTGAAAATCTGAAAGCCATCCTTTTACTTTGTCCAGCCGCTGCATCATTGATTGCTCCTCAGCAACAGCAACCTGTGGCTCCAGGTCGTTTCTGATCCGCTTCAATTCAACCAAATCAGACTTTAATCTATCCAGGTTTTCCTCAAATTTGATTACATGATTGACTTGCTCAGCTATCCAATCACCAGCGCAAGGTGTCAAGCAATTGATTAAGGGCGAGATGCAGGACCAAATGTTTTCCATGCTTCAAGAAAATTTCTAGTAAACAAACAAAAGAAGAAGAAGAAGAAGAAAAAGTGGTGNCCCTCTCTCTCTCTCTCTCGCTAGTGGGGAAAGAGGAGTTGCAGAATTTCTGTAGGTTATGGTGGAATGAGAAGCAAATAGTGTCAAAGGTTGTAGTGGAGTGGGCTGGACTCGTTGAGTGGGAAAAGAGGAGTTCCAGAATTTATGGGTAGTGTAGCACTTCTCTCTCCAATTATGCTAAAAAAAAAATAGCATCGTACCGAAAGTTATTATTTTTCAAGGTTTCAATATACTTTCTAAAAATGAAGTTACGTGTTTGAGGTAAATTTATGATCCATCATTAATATTTCTAAACAGTTATAACTCTACATTTAAGAAATTTGTATGCGTTTGACTAAAAAATTGTTGGTCTAGTTTGATCAATATCATAGAGCTCTAGTTAGGTGATGCCGTATGAATTCAAGGTTTGAATGTTTAAAGTATTGCATAGTTTTCTCTAGAAAACTCCCCTCCGGCAGTTTGAAGAAGCAACAGACGATAGTGAAGGTATTAGGGTAATTTAATTATTTCTGTTAACGTTGTTAGTTGTGCAGATTAGTCCAACAANATCTATGAATACTCTACGAAGGCTGTGGAAGCATGGTCGGTTTCTGATATGAAAGTCGATGGGATTATTANATCTATGAATACTCTACGAAGGCTGTGGAAGCATGGTCGGTTTCTGATATGAAAGTCAAGGGGATTATTTCTAGTTTCTATCTCTTTTCCTTCTACACTCCAATCAATCTCCCAATCTTCACAATCGTCCCAACACAAGACAAAAAGGGAATTTAGACACTTCATATATTGCAGAGAAGATATATTGAAAGTGATGCAACAACTGAAACGTAGCAAGTGTAAACATCGAGTGCAGCTCTGTAACTTGTCGAACTTTATTAGTCTTTGGAAAACAGAGGCACTTGTCATTGTCATAGTCAAATAATATAAGAATTTCAAAGCATCCAATTTCTCTACCATAGCTTCATTGTCGATGACAACACCGTTAATCTTCAACACTTGCAAGGATGATAAACCTGCTATCACTTAGAGTATTGAAGTTTGATCACATTCTATGTCTTCCATATCCAAAATTTTCAAATTTACCAAGTTTTGGAGCTGAACTGGTAACCAACTTATCCACGTGTGAGATATATTCAAATACTGCAATGAAGTCAATTCACCAATTTCCGATGGTAAAGCACATAAAAATTTATTCATTGACAGGTCTAGAACTTTGAGAGCATGCATAGATTGGAAGAATCCACTACTGATCATCTTCAAAGAATTTTCATTCAGAAACAAAGTTGTGAGCTGAGGGCATGTTGGTGTTCCTATTAGTCTCTCAATTTTAGTTACCATCAATGACATCCTCTTTACCTCTTTCCATTTTGAAATTTCTGGTGCTTCAGTCTCCCTCCCACCTACTCGCACCAAAAACTTGTCGGTCTGCTTCTCATATTCACGACCTATCCACAATGCCATCTCACGTATCACGTCATGCATTTTTACTAAGTCACTAGATACCTTTTCCAACAAACATGCTTGAAGAAGTGTGTCAATAATGTCATACCCTTGGTTTTCAGCTCCATCTTCATTGTCATTCCATTCATTTAAAAATCCCTCACCAATCCATTTGTTTATCAAGTCCGCTACAGGAATAGACGAGTCTTCAGGGTATAAAGAGCAATATAAGAAACAAGACCTCACTGTGTCGCTAGGTAGACTATCATAACTTAAATGTAAAGGACGAAACACCTTTTTTTCCATACCTGGAAATCGCACAGCATAGTTCTTCAACACTTTAATAGCATGCTTCCACGCTTGGGGTGTTTGCTTGTAAGCCATGGCTCTACCTACTGTACCAAGTGCAAGTGGCAAGCCGTCACATTCTTTGGCAACAAGTTTAGCTAGCTCAGGTATGTTTGGATCGGATTTAAGGGTCGTTTCACCAACCTTCTTTTGGAACAAATCCCAAGCCTCCCCCCATGGCAAACACTCCACTTCAATTGTTTTATGAGCGTCCATTTGGCCACACACCCTTTTAGAACGGGTTGTGAATACTATCTTGGAGTTTTGCTTGTTTTGAAGTGGAATCCCAACCTCTAAGAGATCAAGGCGCTCCCACATATCATCCAACAACAAAACAAACTTCTTTTTGCTCAACACTCCACATATATCTTCTTTATTTCCTTCTGGTCTTTTATTCTTCCATATCTCGTCATAAAGTCCCATCTTTTTTCCGATGTCATCTTGAACCTGATCCAAATCTAGATTACTGGACACCGTTACCCAAATCACAACATCAAAATCATGAGTTGTATTGACAAACTTGTTGTTGACTTCAGTTAGCAGAGTGGTCTTCCCAACTCCTCCTAACCCATATAAGCCGATGATTCCCACATCTTCTTTTTCGAGGTGCCCCCAAATCTCACATAAATTATTTTTCATGCCCATTATTATTCCTTCACTGGGTCTTACCGTAGCTAGAGGTGAAGGTAACCTTTGAGCTACCTCTTCAAAAACTCCTTTGCTCTTTAAATTAGCAGCATATTGTTTCTTCAACAAGCCTTTACAAAAGATACTACCGACATACATAATTATATTTTAATCCTAATTGCCAATAATGCACCCTACATGATTTCAATCTCTCAATAAAAAAACTAAAGTTGATTGCTAAATTTCAGGATACCTTACAATGAAGGCATTGTAATTTGCTTAAATTATCCTCCCATTCCCTAATATTTTAATATATCAACAAGGCTCATGATCATTATGATTTTAATATAAATATACAGTTATCAAAATAACAATCATGATTTTAGTGCCAATATTTATAACCCCCTTCCACTTTTACTTACTAATAATCTCTTCAGCTCTTGTTACAAAGTGCCCATACAAATTCTCAAAAATAACAAAAAGATTCCCCTCTCTCTCTCTCTCTCGCTAGTGGGGAAAGAGGAGTTGCAGAATTTCTGTAGGTTATGGTGGAATGAGAAGCAAATAGTGTCAAAGGTTGTAGTGGAGTGGGCTGGACTCGTTGAGTGGGAAAAGAGGAGTTCCAGAATTTATGGGTAGTGTAGCACTTCTCTCTCCAATTATGCTAAAAAAAAAATAGCATCGTACCGAAAGTTATTATTTTTCAAGGTTTCAATATACTTTCTAAAAATGAAGTTACGTGTTTGAGGTAAATTTATGATCCATCATTAATATTTCTAAACAGTTATAACTCTACATTTAAGAAATTTGTATGCGTTTGACTAAAAAATTGTTGGTCTAGTTTGATCAATATCATAGAGCTCTAGTTAGGTGATGCCGTATGAATTCAAGGTTTGAATGTTTAAAGTATTGCATAGTTTTCTCTAGAAAACTCCCCTCCGGCAGTTTGAAGAAGCAACAGACGATAGTGAAGGTATTAGGGTAATTTAATTATTTCTGTTAACGTTGTTAGTTGTGCAGATTAGTCCAACAACATAAGTAGGTTATGTGGTTATATTTGAACCATGAGGGGATGAAGTGCTACAATCCCAAACTATAGGGGTGTAAAATGGAAATTTTCCTAAATTTTATTTGTTCATTGCATATCATCATTAGGAAGCTGAGAAAATTTTTTGATACAATTTACTCACCTTGATAAATTCTACCTAAATCTACTTTAGTAGATCATATGGATGTAAAAAAAAACAACTAACTGTGATGAATTGGAAACATTTGTTTTCCATTTCTATTTACCCAATGCATATTTTTTTTTCGTTTAGATCATACTCAAGTGAAAGGTTGTTCACACATTATATTATAAATAAGTCTTCTTCCTCGTCCTACCAAATACTTGAAGTTCATTTCCTTACCTTATTAACAAAGTAGACAAATCACTCTCTTTCTCTATTATAAATCTATGTTGAATCACCATTTAGTAGGGGTCTCTCTCTTGGGCGGGGGAAAGCAGCTTTTTTGTCTTAATGCCCGTCTTGATGCTTGTCTTAATCAAATGATCAGTCATCCCTTACATTGATTTTTTATTTTTCTAAAAAGTTAGTCATTTGATAATTAATTACATCATACTCAACCCTATTTATAAGAATAAAATATTATAAGTCAATACAATTCCCAACTCACACTATATACCTAGGATACAAACACAAATGTTCGAAGTTTAGCCTCTGAAAACATCAACTCTACTCTGTTACAGTATGAGTTGGGAATTCATAAATCCTTGAATAAAAAAACCCAACTCCAATAGCGCAAATGCTTACCCATGTGCGTTCAGAAACAGTCCTCTCTAGAATTCAAAACATGGTGGAGAATACCGACACCAAAATCAAAAAATTCAAAGGCATAAAGAAAGCAAGTTATGAAGGGTTTGTGTGCATGTGCACCAATCATTCTCATGGTCGATCACCCATGACAGTGTGGAAGGAACCTTTGGGTTCGTCTAATCTATTTTCATTTGCCCATTTCATTGAAGAATAAGTTATTCGGTCAAAGAATGACTTAAAAATCAAGCACGAAAAACAAATATCAAGAGTCTTCATCTAGCTATGTCTTCAATGAATATTTGAGAAACAATTTGCAATGGATAGTGGATAGGGATAATGCACAAAATGTATTTATGCATTATCTGTCAAGTATTTAATGCAATAATTAAGAATGAAGCCTAACACAAGAAAACACAAAAATTAGGTGGTTTGATCTAGGTGACATACTCCACTAAAAATGGCGACAGTGGCTGGAGAACCTTGTTACTTAAGAGATGTAATATGTTGAGATGTAGTGTATTGAGATATGTATGATGTCACCTATGTGTAGGCAATGCTTACAATTTATAGGCAAGTGAAATTGGCTCCGAGTGACATTGATTGAGGCGTCATTCTCGTAACGGGGAGTTAGGTGATTCCGTGAAACTCGTCTTATCCTCATAACGGGCAAGGTGATAGCGGGTGATTCCTTGAAGCTCACCTTGTCTGGTAATGGGAGAGGTGATCTCGCGAGATTGACGATGTGCCCCTAATAATCGAGTCCCCACAAATTCCCTCTCCTCAGATAGAGATTCTCACGTGCACTGATGATAGGTTGAGTCTCTCAGGAAGGTGGGCTTAGCTCAATAGAATTTGTGACTGGGCCTTTGTTGGTCTGTATCTATGGTCTGAACGTAGTCTATAATTTTGGGTTTGGTCTGCTTCTTTGATCTGGGCCCATCATTTGTCCCATACCCAGAATCCAATGGAACTTGAGAGAGAGGGCATCAATAAAAATTTATGAACATCTTTTTTAGCAGGCCAAGTATGGACGAGAGAGAAGCAGAGGGCACAAGAGGTGAGCAGGGTGCCTAGGCGCTAGTGGTAGGGAACTGAGGGCGCAAGAAAGCCCTTTAGTCACAAACGCTAGACTTGACATTGTTTTGGATCCTCTTTTGTGCTCATTTTACCACTAAACATGGTTGATGCAGTGAGGTAACGACCATGGCGTGGATCAGCAACACACATCATGTGTAAGTTCCAAGATAGTAAGAACGTGATACTGTTGAGACCCTTATGATGTCCGGGGAGCGAACCCCACCATGAAAAAGTGAAGTCGTGGAATGGTNTTGACATTGTTTTGGATCCTCTTTTGTGCTCATTTTACCACTAAACATGGTTGATGCAGTGAGGTAACGACCATGGCGTGGATCAGCAACACACATCATGTGTAAGTTCCAAGACAGTAAGAGCGTGATACTGTTGAGACCCTTATGATGTCCGGGGAGCGAACCCCACCATGAAAAAGTGAAGTCGTGGAATGGTATCAAGTTCACCACTAGCTTTCTAAGGTCCGAGTTCAGCTGCCCAGGAAAACGCACGCAACATATTACTCCACTCATTGTCATCGAGATGAGATAATTCAAGTCCCCAACTGATCCACAAAATATACATTAGAAATTGACCAAAGCTAGCGTCATAACATGACTCGTTTGAGTTAGACTACCGTTGTACAAAAAGTTCAAGCTATAAGAGAGGATGTAATATAAGGGTTCATGTACTTCAACAATTCGAACCAAACAATAATTCGAACAAAAACTAACACAAATCACTAATTATCTCTGGGGCAAATGTTGGTAATACTTGCAGCTTAGGGTTGTGAGCTTGAGTCCTAAAGCAGATGTCATACAACGCTTCGTTGTCAAGGACCATACACTCATCAGCATTCTCCACTAGCTGGTGAACATAAATGGTAGCGTTATAAGGCTTTATGCCTATGTCTGAGACCTTTGGAGATGGAAAGATAGAGAATGTCAGCATCATTCTATCAGGGTATTCTTCTCTGATCTTGGAAATGAGTATGGTGCACATTCCAAACCCCGTTCCACCCCCAAAAGAATGACATACCTGAACCCCTGTATTGTACCAGCACCAAGGGAAAGTGATGTATGAGAAATTTCATTGCAAAAGTTTTCTTAAGATTGCAACAATGATGGTAGCCAATTAAAACCAAAGTCTCTTATTCTTATATTGTAGAAAAATTCCTACACTGAAAATTGCTTTGAATGGAAAAGTTGGTTCGAGAAGCAAATGACACAAAATTAGTAAGCCTGGTAATCAAGTATAGTCGAGAAAAAAAAGGGTAGATCCATGTTTTTGTACACTAAAAGCAAGTGGGAAATAGATTAATTTTCTTAACATTTTAATAGAAAATTACTTATGGTTTCATAGATTCTGCCAAGTAGTTCAAGGTTTAAGTTTTTGTTGATCAGAAGAACAATTCTTAACTAGAAGAATAAGTCTGGTTGGGTGTTTCTATCTAGTTGAAGCAATACTTGTCTTGAAATATCAACCTCTCACGTCTTAGAAGTTGCATAATGGGTTGAAAGTATAGGATTAGTCAATCATCCACTTTGGTATCTTATTGAACACAAATGATACATTCATCCACCATTGATCAAGAATTTCGATTTTTAAAAAGGATCACCAATTTATAATCATCCGCTAAATAAAGGTTTTCATTGTTTCAAATGAATTATATGAAGACTTATTGATTCAAACATATTTTAATGGTTTCTCCTACTCCTTACATATGGTAGACTCTTAATGGCCGGTTATTCATATTTTAGGCACACATAATTAAAATATTTTTGGGAGGTTTTCTAAAGAGGCACAAAAAATTTTAGGGTCAATCTCATGAGTCATCCCTAGAACAATCATAGAAACGTCATTAGATGGGAAACATGCTCAATATCATTTGATTGAATAGTTGACCCATCGAATTAATAAGCTCAATACCTATGGTGTAATGCTCCTTAGACCAGTTGTTCCCGAGCCCGATTGCCTGAAAACAAAGTTATCTGGCTTGAAAATCATGCCATAGGCAGGGGCGGAGCCACCCTCAAACTAGGGTGGGAACATGCCCCCCTCAATTTTTTTTTCTTTTTATTAGACATGTAGTTTTTGAAATAAAATTTAGACTTATTTAATTGTGTCTACCCTATTATTGTGTTCTGGTGATATCGATTTGATCTCCTATCTAAATAATTGTTAACTTTTTGAACAACGTTCTTGATTCCTAATGCATTGTGCTATTAAGTCGAATAGTGAGTCTCAGTATTTAATAAACAATCTTATCTAGTC